AAACCTGGTAATTAGGATCGATTGGCTGGATCCGAACAAAGGCCAAGCTATGTTTTGAGTCCTGTGGGGAATCCTGGAGCATGGCAGGCTCCAAGAGACGAAGGAAACAAAATGGAGGATACCTGAGCCAAAAATAGCAAATGTTTTCAAAGGTAAAAGAGAATAGGTAGCACCCCACAATCACTCGAGGCGCAAATGACCAAGCTCATATTATCCTACTTCAGACACATTATGCAAAACCCCAGCACTCTGGAAAAGGCTGTAATGCTGGAAAAGGTGGAAGGAAAGAGAAGAAGAGGATGAGCAGCAGCAAGGTAGATGGACTCAGTTACAGTGGTGATGAGTGCACCGTTGGGAGACCTGAAAGATTGGTTAAGGACAGATTGTCATGGAGAAAATCTATCTGTGTGGTCACTAGGAGCTGAAAACAACGTGATGGCACATAATCAATTAACTTGAATCCTAATCAATCTGAGAACCCAGCCTTACACTAGGGGCTCCTCTGTGATCTACTAACTGCAGGCAATCTACACCTCAACAGTCAAATTGAGAAGGTTTGAGTTGACAACATCACCCTCGGATGACTTTTATCACATGTGGAGGCTGGCTACAACTGTGTTTTCCTGCTGTGCTTTAAAAGTGGCATTTTTGACTTGTGCTGGCAGGAGCCCAGTTTGTGGTTTCTCTGCTGTGGTTTAATTTGATCTAGGCAAAACTTGCACTCCTTTTGGTTGCTGTACGAAGCTGCCAGCATGCCTCTTCCCCCCAGTCACTAGACCATTCATGGCCAAGGAGAGGAACATGCTCATCTCAAGCCTGCACTTTGTGGGGCAGACCCTAGGCATTATGTGGGTTTCTTCCATATCCCTGATAATCAGTAGTCAGCTTGATGGGCACAGTGGAAAAAATGGAGACCAATGACTAATTTTATGAAGGCTGGAAAAGCTGGGAAGGCAGGTTATCTTCTGTTTATCTTCCTCCTAAGAATTCACTCATTGCCATTGGCAGTAAAAGTCATGTATTCTTCAGAAAAGGATCACTATTATCTGTAACATTTTAATACAGAATTACTGCCTGGAGAGGTATGTAACTATTATGCATTCATACCAAAAAGCCTTTAAACATTTTATTTGATCTAAATATGTATATACAAATTGCACTGTGATGCTCTATTCCAGCACTATCTTGTTCCTCCAGGATGGATGAGAAGAAACCATCTTGTTGAAGAGTGGTGATGTAACCAGTCAGCTGTTCATCACTTTCAAAGAATGTGGCTGAAGGTAACCCAGGAAAAAGAATGAGGAGAGGAGAGGAGAGGAGAGGAGAGGAGAGGAGAGGAGAGGAGAGGAGAGGAGAATACAAATTTTCCATTAATCAAAGAAAACAATAGCAAAACATTTACAGAATAGAAGAGCGTTGCTGTTCTTTGTGACTTTTGATTTTTAAAAACAATGATGCATGATGCTCCAATGCTAAATTGCAGAGTACATTATTATAGGGCTGGCAGTAAAATTGATCCTGGCCACCATGAACCTCCCAGATAATATTGACTAATCTAAACTGTCCTCGACCATGCTCTGCTAAGTATTTTTTATGTGTAATTTTTTATGAAGCTTAGGATTTTGTAATGCATCTATAAATGTGTTCCTGAGTAACAAAATATGTATTTATTGTTATGCAGATATAAATGCACACCCACTATAAATTATATTTTATAATATATTATATATTATATATATAATTTCATTTTTTATATATTATCATTTCATAATTTATATATTATATATATAATTTCAAAGGACCTCCTGCTGATTTATATCCATGTCACATAAAACAATAACTACTTTACATAAAAATAGATTTTAAAAACATTAACATTAACCCAACCCAGAGTCCCCAATCAGTGGTGACATCTCTTACAAATCAAATGTTCTATGGAATAGTTCTGTTTTAACAGCCCTCCTAAACCCCAGTGGAGAGGCCATCAGCTGAATCTCAGTTGGAAGGCTATTCCAGACGGATGCATCAACAATAGAGAAAAACTATCTCCTGGTCACCCTCTCACCTGAAACTCCATGTATGGGTGAAACCCTAAGCATCCCTATTGAGGCACGAAAACAGAATGGATCAGTTCTACTTGAACAAGCCAATCCTGAGGATACCCAGGAGCTAGGTCATGAATAGTTTTATAGCTTGAAACCAGTACTTTGAATTATACTCAGAAACCTATTGGGAGTCAGTGCAATACCATTAAACCAGTGTTTCTCAACCTTGGCAACTTTAAGATATGTGGACTTCAACTCCCAGAATATCCTGGCCAACATGGCTGGCTGGGGAATTCTGAGAATTGAAGTCTATACATCTTAAAGTTGATAAGGTTGAGGAACTCTGCTCTAGGAGCTCAAGGTGGGAGGCGTACATTCCCTTGTCCAATTTTTCCCTTCTGCAACCACCCTGTGAGGTAAATGACTGGCCCCAAATCACCAGTGAGCTTCCATGCCTGACGGTGTACTTGAGCCTAGGTGTCCCCAACACCACTCGAGTAAGTAAAGCGTTGAAAATTAGAGTGCTGGGTTGGAATGAGTCTTAGGCAGATACAGCAGGGTGATTCAGCAGCAAGTAATCACACAAAATACAGCAACCTCCCAGAATCCTTAGTCTGCATGTATTCCGAAGACATCTGGAGATGTTAGGAAAAAAAGAGCAATTATGATTCCATCTGGTTGAGTATAGTACAGTAAAAGTAATTGTGATGCCCATTAGATGGCAGTCTTGAGCCTCCGTTTCTGATTTCCAGAATAACATTACAATTTAAGGCAAAGATTTGTAGGGAAAGAAGAGAGTCGTAGTGCAATACATCTGGAGGGTGCCATATTGAGGAAAACCTGATTAAAGAGTGAAGGAATATGGTGTTTTATTGACAGAAAGAGCAAGCCAGATTACTTCATGGAATTATCATGTTATAAATGGAAGAGATTATCATTCACCATCTGCTGCTTTATATCTTTATGTCTTAGGACTTGTTCTCACTTGCATCTTAGCATGGCACAGTCATAGCCCAATAACACTAATTTCCTGATTTGTTCCTACAACTCTATCTTATCTCATCCTCAGTCCACGAATGAGCTAAGTTTAAGCTAGTCATGAACGGTACCATATAAAAGTAACATTTTCCCCCATATCCCAACATTGTCCAAGACCAGCCTCAATATATGTAAAATGTGTTATCCTTTGCCCCTTATTATTTTAAAAGCCAGGTCAGAGTTATGTTGGGGGTGTAGGCATGCCTCTTCCCCTCTGATCACTAGACATCCCCCACCACAGCCATTTCTCTCCCAGCCTTTACCCTCACCATTTGTCAGCCCCACTCAGTAGACCAGATCAGGAAATCAACTCCACAGGAAGGCTAAAACTACTTTTATTGAAGTTGGCTATTACTTCTTATACTCCTTCTTCTTATACTCCAGTGAATTAAGAAGGCATTTACCTGAGTTGCTTCCAAATGTTATCTTGTTGTTCTGGACTTAAAAAATGCTTCAGCCCCTTTTGCCTAGGTAACAGTTCCTGCATATCTCCATCAAAGTAATCTTCCTTACTCTGTACACTATTAGAGTTTTGCTTCCCAAGTCCATTTGATACCTGCTGTTCTCCCCACCCTCACCCTCACCCCCACTCCCACATACATG